CCTAGGAAAGAGCGAGCGACGGGAGAGCGAGCGACCGAGAGAGAGAGAAGGAAATAGTTAAAATGAAATGCCAGGCGCGGGGCTGGTCGTATTAGGGCTTCTACCGGCGGTTTTCTGGCGGTTAGGACCGCCGGTAAAAAGTCACTTATCAACGGCGGTCCCAACCGCCGGTAAACCGCCGGTTCTTGTTGATATCCGGCGGTTTACCGTCGGTTTAGGGACCGCCGCTATTACCGGCGGCTTAACGTAGCAAAATCACCGGTGAGGCCGTCGTTAAAAGCCGACGGCCAGACCGCCGGCTATGCCGCAGGTAAAACCGACGGTCCATAAACCGCCGGTTAGAACCGTCGGTATTGGGCATTTTTCCTGTAGTGTTTGAAAATATTTATATTTTGTGGATGAACCTTGTCAACTCAATCGAGTTGTCAACAGAGGATCGGGTTTCATAGGCTTTATGCCTTTTTTTATAAATTTCTTGATTGAAAGCCTAATATTAATATATAAAATAAATATATCAATTGACCTCACAACCATATATTTTTTAAATGGTTCGAGCTGTGTCGACTCATATCTACCTGAATAGAAAGATCAGGGTCAAACTTAGCTTGGATTTATTTACTAACCTACACAGCATTCTTAGACGTCACGTATATTCCCATAACATTCATTGGGGCCCATGCGGGTGTTTTGGAGCATTTTCATTTGTTGATTGAATCATGTATATTAATTTGTCGATAGATGATCAGATTCACCATAGGCTTTAGGTCTTTGTGAATGAATTTTCTTTGTTGAGGGCCTTGAAGGTCTGATATAAATATCCCGGTAGACTTCATGATCGCATATTTATTTAAGGGTTCGAGCCTTGTCAACTACTACTTTCCCATATATGAGGATCAAGCTCAAACTTGGGTTTATTTACTAACCCGCGCAGCATTCTTAGACGTCACGTGTGTTCCCACAACATGCTCACTGGGGCCTATACGGGTGTTTGGGGGTATTTTATAATTATTTATTAAACCTTGTCGACTCCTATTTATCTACTTAGGAGGATCAAATTCAAATTTATTGACCAATGCAGCATCCCTAGACATCACATGTGTTCCGGTAACATGCTCGTCGGGGCCCACACTAGTGTTTGACTATATTTACCCTTTTTATGTACATATATGTATATAAATTACGGTGCTTATATGGGGGTACTTTGATATATTTTAGTTGTGCAGGTAACTGCCATTTAAATACACACAACATTTTATTTCAGAGCTTATATACTCCTATCTGCTAATACGAGTGTTGCGAATCCAGTGACGGTATTATCTAGATGTCATGAGGTATCTCATCATCCTGATACTGACTCCCTTTTTTTATTCACTGGGAGGTCTTTCTGGATTTTGAAATCAGTGACTATTGCTTTGAAAAGAAATCCTTTCAAGATCTTTAGTGTAGTAGACCTCCATGAGATGTAATATTCATAACCACATAGTTAGCCTTCAAAATGAATAGATGTATCTAGGTGCACTTGTTATTTGTAGTGTTCAAGGATGTTAGAACTATTTTCTTCTCAAGTATAGAACCAATAAGAAATTTTAGAACATTAGGAAATTTAGTTCAAATTTATTCAAACGTCACTTCCCATCGAATTTATTTCTGTCGAAAATTCCGCCGAAAATTAGCTGTTTTCCTGTAGTGGTATTTATCAATTTAATTTAGTTCAAAGATTATGTCTCCTAAAAGAGAAAAAAGTGTAATTAAAGTAATATTCACTTTAAACCCCCAAATATACATGCAAAGGATCACACTACAAGGAATTCTCCTTATGAAGTACAATATTATTAATATAAATCCCTAAGCATCTATGTATCACTGACGTTTGATTTATCAAACTAGAGCATTCTCTTGATAGCTCTTATCTTAATCCCACGTTTGAATCCTAGAACTAAGCCATATTCAAGCTCAAGAGGAGATTCCATCTTAGTAGAGTGCCTGAAAATGTAATTTCGGTATAGGCAAATGAGAGCAAGCTTGATCTCTTGCAGTGCAAACTTCTGGCCAATGCAAGCTCGTGGACCGATCCCAAATGGTATGTTCGCATATGGATTCCTTCTCTTCTCTTCATCACTGGTTGGATCAAATCTCTCTGGTCTGAATACCTCAGGATCTGGGAATTGTTTGGGGTCCTTAGCCAAAGCTCCCAGTGCAAGCCACACCCATGTACCCTACATGGGAAGGAAGGAGGAGATATTTCAACTAACTGATTTTCTTTGTTTGATTTGATAAGGAAGGTTATGTGAGTGATGGTAACGCTACCTTTGGGAGAACATAGCCTCCAATTTCAACTTCTTGAGATGTCTCTCTTGCTACGAGTGGTGAAACTGTCACAAACCTCATGGTTTCTTTTACTACCTGCAATAATTTAACAATAACAAAAAATTAATTTTTTTACTAGTTTGATCGATTATTTGGTACATTTTGGAGAATATGATGAAATTCTAAATCAAAAACCTTCTTTAGCGTCTCTTTTCTTGTTCCAATCTTAGAAACAACAAAGAAAAAAATGTAGTAGTTTTTTTTTTCAATATGAAAAACTTTTCTTCTCAATCGATCTATTTGCGCGCAGGAATTTAGTGTTCATTTTTTTTAGTGTGAGAAATTTTATAGAAGACATAAAAGGGATGAATGTAGAATTTGTGGGCTTTAGCCTCTATCTGAGGATGATCTTCCTATCTGACTAATTCCGCTGAAAAATTTTTCGGGCATGTTTTTTTTCAGCAGAATTTTTTTCGATGCTCGATTTTCAGTCGAAAACGTTTTCGCTGGATATATGGATGTAGGTCACAATGTGGAAACTTACTCGGCCAAAAACTGGTCATGAGAGATTGCTAAAACAATTAAAGGATACAAAAAATTTACCTGGTCAAGATAGGGAAACCTGCAATTAAGATCTTCAGCAGTAGGAGTAAGATGAGAAGAGCTAAATCCATCAATCTCTTGAAGAAGTTTTCTCTCAACATCTGCAAACTTGGATATCAGATAAACAGTCATTGCCAATGTAAACGCCGTCGTCTTTGTCCCAGCAAGTAGTTGCTCATATGTAAGCGCTCTGATGTAGTTATGCGTGAAGAGCTCCTTGCCAATGCCAGATTCTCTTGCATCAAGCACAACTGATAAGAAATCTTTGGAGCATTTAGTTCTCTCACTTGACCTCTTCGTAATGATGGCGTCAATTTTCTCACACAGCTTTTTGTTTGTTTGCTTTACTTTATAGTCGGCAGTACCTTGTATAAGTTGGAGAATGTTTCTGCAGGGAATTTGGAGTATTGGAACTACTAAGCCGAGTATAGTAGAGAAAGAGCTTGAGAGATCCATTTTAAGGGAGTTAATGGAGCGCATATGCTGCTTTAGGAAGGAGGAAACTTCATCTTCCTCATCACCTTCATCGTCGATTCGTTCTTCGATGTGCTGGTTGAAGGAAGCTTCGTTGGATAGGCCAAAGTGAACACCGAAGGCTGTCTCTCCTATGATATCAATCGCCATTCTTAGAGTGAGCTCAGAGAAGGGTATGTCTTCTTCTTTCTTCTCAAGATTTGATATATTTCGTAAGAGTAAATCTACGTATGATTGCATGGTGGGAATGAGACTGGAAAGATGGGTTGGTTGGTAAAGAGAGGTGAGAGTATTTCTCATGAAAGACCATCTTGAACCCCTGCATGTCGAAATATTGTTCTTGATTAGTTTTGATAAATACAGCAAAGTAGCACAAGAAAAATCACATATTAAAATTTCATTTGGACAATTTTCTTATTACTTCTTAAAAAAAAAAATTAGTATAATAAACAAATAAGAAAATCATCAATTTATAAGTGCTATTTCAAAGCTTGTTTGTTATGATTGTCATGTCATTGAAAGGGTTATAAAAAATTCTTCTCTTTTTTATTTTTTTATTTTGCAACTTTCCTTGCTTTTTGGTTGCAATTTCTTTTGCTAGCTATCATGATATAGGCCATTCTAATATATCTAATCTGCCACTTTTCTTCCTTTGCCTATCATTTTGAATAACTAGATTATTATACATAATAGATAGATAAGCATGATCTTTTGCTGTGGGGAGTCCAGAGCTAAAACCTGCTTTGTTCTATCCTAGAAGATCTCGTATAATTTTAACAGTATCTGGAAATTGCATATGGTTAATTTGCTTCAGGTGGAGTTGCACAAGGCTGGGTTTTAGATTTCTGTTGGATCTGATAAGGAGGGTGATTTTTTTCTGTTCCTTTCTCATAAGTGCAAAAATCTATATTTGGTTTATAACTGTTTTCAACAATATTTAATGTTCCTTTGCTCCTTTTGTAGTATCTTTTCTTGCAGATTCAAGGGCTGGACGTGTTCGACGTTTCACCTTCTCGTCTCTGCACAAAGTTTCGGGTATTTGTGGCTTTATCCACTTTTTTGGCAGGAAGACCGGACTCATTGATTTTCTCTTGCTCTTCCTTTTTTGGGTGTTGTCGTCTTGCAGCCCTAGATTGTTATTAGGTATTTTTGTAATTGTTAGAACTAGGAACCATCGGCTCGGAGGTTTTTTTTCTTTTTATTTTGTAGCTCCTGCAAGCATTAGTGAGCTGAAGATTCCTTTTTAGGACTTTGTAACCGTTTTTTTATATTAACGCGTAGGCCCCTACATGAGTTTTAACCAATAATAATAATAATAATAATAATAGATAGATAAACAAAAAGTTAATAACCACGTTCTTGTTTTTATTTTTCTTTTTATAAACATATTTATTTGGCATGCTTTTTTATTTTTATTTTATTTTTTAAAACAATTCACTATTATAAAAATACTCAAATAATATTGACAATTTTTAAAAATAACAATTATAATTGGTTATTGCTTCTTTTATTTTCTTCTAATTATAAAATATTGAAATGCTTACTATATTATATGCTCTATTTTTTATTCTTTTTAAGTTTTATTAAATTCAGGAGTTGACCTCCATAAATTTAATTACCTTTTAACTTTCTTGCACAATATATTTTTAATTTTATCTCTAGGACACGTGCCAGATTTTTAAATTCGTTTTAATCAATTTTTAATTAAAAGAAAATACCTTTAATGCCAATGAAATTGGTCAAATATATATGTTAAGTGATGTGACCAGTGCTTAAATCTGTAAATATTTTTAAAATTATTAAAAATAGTTATGATTTTATTCTCACGAATAAAATAAATCAAAATAAAATTTATAATAGATATATATAGAGTCATAGAGATAGAGAGAGAGAGAGAAAGGGAGAGACATAACAACAATCAAATGAAAAGATAAAGGTTATATATGAGGAGAAATTATTACATGCAGAGTCCAGACGTAGAGCTACGTTCGAACTCTAATCAAATGACGACACATGGCTAATACATATTGTATATTAGCTGCGTATTGGTATCTACTAGCTACGTATTAGCCATGTGTTATTATTTGATTGGAGTCCGGACATAGCTCTACGTCTCAACTCTGCACATAATAATTTCTCCTGCATGAGATAAGTTTTTTATTATTGTGTAAAACTTCCAAAAAGAAAGTAACTTTTTTAAGCGGTTGAAAAAGGTAATTTTTTAGTATAAAAATATTTTATAAAATAACGAAAACATAATGATCAAATAGGATTGTAGGTGCGATATGTGATTGTAGTCTGAATATCAAAGCAGCCAAAAAAGTTATCCCAACAAAGTCAAAAAGCAACTTTCCTTTACAAGATTTTGTTCATGTCAATGAGCCACTCACCATTGCATGGGTTCTTTTTAAAAGTGGGTGCATGAAATGAATAATTTTATATTTGGCCAATTTTAATTAAATAAATTATTATAGATGTCGATAAAAAAACCCAAGTTGGAATATTTATTTGGTAAATTAAATTAAAAAAAAAAAGTGGCAAGCAAGATGGGGCTTGGTGGGCCAAGGCTGTCCTTGACCAACAAAAGAAGTATTTATGAGCAAAGTCAAAGGGCATGGAATGTGTCTTTTGGAGCACTAGCAACTTTATTCTCCAAGCGGTCGAAAAATATTCTTAAGCTTTTTCTTATAATTTTTTCGTTATTTTATTTTTCAATAACAATTATAGTTTTATTTAATTAATACTTTTTTATGATATTCTTTTTTTTTTAATTTATAAGGGTAAACTATTTTTTCAATCAAAATAGTTAAATTATATTCCTGATAAAAACTTCACAATTAGGGGTGGAATCAGGAAGTGCTTTGCTTATCCTAATTTTTTTTTCTTTAAAAAAATAAATATTTTAACTATTTTGTCCACCTTCAATAAATTTAGTTATCCAAATTCTAAGAAAAAATTTTCATTTTATATTTCTTACATAAGACTGTGCATTTCACAATCCTATTTTGCCCACCCTCTAAAAAGATGCTGTTTCTGTCCCTATTCACAATCCACTATATAAAACATTGCAGTCGTCTCAAATATACCCTTAGATATAGGGTGAGCTTTTTTTTAAAGATAAAGTTAGTTTTTATGAATTTATTCACCCTAAATTTATAATTGTATTTAATTCTTATAAAAATGTTCAATTTAATTCTTTTTTTTTTTTCAATGAACTTGTTACTTAATTAAAATAAATTTCTTAATTTTCAAATTCTTTCTACTTATGTTTTTATAAATTTTGCCATATTATTTTATTAGCTGTTTGTATTTTTTTTTTAAATTTCATTTAATGAAATTTTCTTTATTTAATTATTATATTATTTATTTACTAAAAATATATATGGGAGGTTGTGTTGATCTCAAATCATGTTAGAAATCCAATGAGGTTAATGTGTTGTGAATTCCGACATCACCAAAAGAGCAAGAAATCCAATTAGGGTTGTGAGCCATGTCAGCTCAAACTCGACTGAATAACGAGCTCACTCGACTGAATAATGAGCTCGCGATTCAAAATTTTACTTATCAAGCCACAAGTTCAAATTTTAGCTTAAATTAAAGCTCAAGTTCGAGCTATGCCCAACTCGATTCATCGTCTTGTCCAATCGATGCAAATAATATTAATTGACACGTTCGCATTTATATTAACCAATGCAAACTTTTTTTTATCCAAATTCAAAGAATTGGAGCTTCAAAAATAGTCAAGCATTAGCTTTTTTATTGAGCTCGAGGCTCAAATTTTTCACTCAAGCAATGCTCAAGCTCAACAAATTAGCTCAAGTCAAGCTAGTGCTGATCAAGTTCAAGCCCACTATAAATTTAATGAGCTTGGTCTGATTAAGTAAAAACTCAACTCGTTTAGATTTCTAATCTCAACCACTTCGACATGCCCTATAGCATAAAAGATAAAACCAAAAAGGGCATGTGAGACTAATGGAAAACAATTTGATTAAGATATTTTGATCAATGAGTTTTCAGAATTGTTGTGATTTTTCATTATTTAACTGATTTGAGAATGAATGATTTTAATTTGTGGATGATAAAAAATAGCATAATATTTACAATTAAATTATTTTAAAATATTATAGTATTTAAAAACATTAAAATGTCAAAAATGTTTATGCCATGTCAAAATATAAACATAACAAAATAAATAAATTTTAAAAAATAAAAATAATATCAGATGATCCTCCCATAATTTTTATAAACTTTGAAATCATAATTATTATTTTTTCTTAATGAGACCTTCAATTTCAAAGATGATAAAATATATATAGTTTAGGTGGAAATAAACTTAAATATGTCAACAAAACTTATTTTCCTAATTTATTTTTAAATAAAATAAAAAATATTTTAAAGAGTGACTAATATAAAATTAAAACCACTAAAATTTATGCCAGAAATAAAAAACATTAATGGGTTAAAATCTTGGCATGCATGTTAAAAATTTGAATGATATAATATAATTATAAGAATTTACCCTTCAAATAATAATATTCCACAAAAGTACTCATATTAGTAAAATAATTTTAATAAAATACTAAAATTGCATCAGACACTAATATAAAATTAAAACCACTAAAATTTATGCCAGAAATAAAAAACATTAATGGGTTAAAATCTTGGCATGCATGTTAAAAATTTGAATGATATAATATAATTATAAGAATTTACCCTTCAAATAATAATATTCCACAAAAGTACTCATATTAGTAAAATAATTTTAATAAAATACTAAAATTGCATCAGACAAATACCTTGTTAGAAAAAGCCCTTGCTGATGCATAGCAGAGCCAGAAGTTGGAGTAGGACTACTTCTATTCTTTATCTGCTTAAACTTCTTGATCCCAACCTCTCTGCAGAGCTCTGGGTGAGCCACCATAACCAGTGGTTGCCTTCCCATATGGAACCTATCCCATAACCCCAAAACAAAAATTAACTATTTGTTTTGCAAATAATAATATTGATAAGGGTTATTTGCAAAAAAAAAACATTGCAATTACCTAAAAATAGGACCATAGTTCTTTGTAAGAATTTTCATTATATCAGGTCCATACTCAGCCAACAAAGGCAAGTGTCCCACAAGAAATCTTGTTGGGGGTCCAGGAATTCTCCTCACCTTCCAGTAGGGTAAGTAAAAGTATATTAAGAAGCTTAACATTAAAAAGACTAAGACAAGAAGAAAAGGGATAGTTGCCCTTAGAAAGAACAAGCCTAATTCCATTAAAGGCATTTAGAATGAAAGAGATGGAGAGAAGCAGAAGTGAGGGGATATATTTGTGAATAAAAATGAATGAAACAGTGAGTATTTATAGAGGGGAAAAGATGGTGGCATGGCTCCTTGAGAACCAACAATTGTTAATGGAATTTATTTGTCTGTCTAACGAGGGACAGAGATTCTTGTCAACTTTTAAAGCCATTCATGCTAATTAGTCCTCATGTAAAAATTATAAATTATTAGTAGTAATGGAGTTTACGATTAAGCAAGGTGATAATCAATGCTATTTCAATTTTTTTTAATAATGATGTTAATGCATAAATTGAATGCAAATATAATATAAATCAAAGATTTTGATGACTCTTCAAAGTATCTTAATCAATTAAGTTAGTTGATTCCCCTCAAACAAGTTTGACCAATAATTTCTATCCCATGTGTATATATAGCCAAGTCATATCTACCTAATGGCTTTTATTTTGATAAGGATACCCTTTTTCTTTTTCTCTAAGGAGAATATTTTATTATTACAAGTGGTTCTTTTAACATAGAGGTTTTATTATTGCAAGTGGTTCTCATAACATAGAGGTACTCATGAATTTATCTATAATGGATTATCTTTTTTCTCTCATATTCTTAAAGAGCATTTACTCTAATTCATTTACTGAATGATATATTGAACAACATCAATAATAATTTGATTCATTCATTGAGTCATATTATGTCAATCAGTATGAAAATAGATTTTGACACACAGATTATTTTTTAGATTAAATGATGATACTTCTCTTTATTATTCTCATAGGCAAATAGAAATGGATGAAAAGAAATTAATATTAAATAAAGAAGCTAGAATAAATGATAACTTTTATCAAAAAAATTATTAAGTATGATCCATTCAAATGGATGATAAGCTAAAACTAAAGATTTGTTTTGGACAGCTACAACATTTTGTAAATATAATTTTGAAGTTATTGTGAAAAAAATAAAATTATTAAGGGTATTATAAATATGTTCTTTTTTTAAAAAAAGACAAACAACTATTTTTTTTACAGCTACCACAAACAATTGATATCGTTGTAAATATATTTAATTTCATACTACGAAAGTTTTTGAAAAGTGGTGAGGCGGGAAAAAAAATAATAGTCTAGTAGAAGCTTAGTTGTACGTAGTCTGAAAAACAAAGAAATAAGAAAGCAGCCTCAAACAAACCCTAAATATTGCCCGATGTGATGATTTCTTAGTTGTAATTTTCTGCTTTTAGGCTTCGTTTGGGGCAGCTTTCTTACGATTTTTTAAAATAGCTTTTTAAAAAAATTAAAATTTTTGTATTAAAAATTTTGTTTTAAGAAGCAGTAAAAATATCATCCTGCATCTTTTTTATGAATTTTTTTTGGCTCTTTTACACTAATGTGGTGATTCAAGGTATGCTGACATGAGATATCACAAAAGTGCAAGCACATGAACAATTTGGTTGGGAAAAGGAAGAAAGCAATCAGTGAAAGAAATGATGAGCCTTGAAAAATTAGTGAGAAATGATCAAAAGTCAAGGTTTTCTCAGTGGACTGAACAATCATAAACATTTTGCTTCAATGACAGCTGCTTCCATTATCAATATTATGGCCATCGAATCTTGGAGATCTTCATCAATGTGGCACCCTTTTGCCATCATAAAAGCAACGAGCATTTGGTTTTATTCTTGCATTGTTGTCGCTGGGTACACGTAAATACAATGATATGACACATTAGGTTCACTAGCTAGTAAGAAAGTGGAACATTTTAGGTGGGATTAACATTTGTTTTGTACCATGAATCCATCAAATGGTTGAGAAATTTGGGAGAATCAATAAGAATTTGGCCTTCATTTTAGTTTTGAATTTTTATTCATTTTACTTTAGGGATATGCAAGATAATGTAAAAAAGAATGCAAATAAAAAGAATGTAAAATAAAAAAGGAATATTTTAGAGCTTTCTGAAATAGTGTAAAATGAATATATGAGATTACTTTTTTATTTGATTTGAAGTAAAATGAATGAAATGTAAAGTCCAAAGAAAATGGTGGTCGATTGTGGGCGGCGGTAGTGGCCGCTATAATCAATAGGTCACTAGAAACGGTGGTGGACGGCATCGACCGATGTGGCTGGAGGTGGGCAATGGTGAAGGTGGAGATGGCGGTGGTAGTTGGCTGCAGTGGTGGTGGCTGGAGGTGGGCGGTGGCCAGCGGTGGTAGTGGCAGTTGGTGGTGAGTGAAAACAATGACAATAAATGTATGTTATATTTGAAATTCATCTAAATCTGATGCGACAATTATATTAGTTATAAAAAAAATTGTAACAAGATACGAGTATTACTTGTTTGTATAAAATATGATTAATGGTAATTGTCAAAATTTAAATAAAGCACTTTATTCCTTGTTAAATCGAGCATCTGAGCCGGGACATAACATGCATTTGACGAATTTCAAATTCAACAAAATTGAGCTAGAGACTAAATTTCAAATGAACAAAAATTTTACACTGCATTTGTTTTACATTTAAAAAAACACTAATATTTTCATAACCTTTACATTTAAAATAATTTACACTTATTTTACTTCAAACCAAATAACCCCATAATTAGATGATAAATCACAGGATTCATAGCCTTAAAAAATTTTCTATAAGAAATCCCTTATAAATGGGTTAATATTAGGTCAAATTTGAGTGAATCTGATCCATTATTTATATTATATTATTCATGTAACATTTTATTTTAAACTATATTTCGAGTCAACCCTATTTATATTTGAGTTAGTCAGCATTATTTGAAATTTATTTCAAGTCTAAAATAGAGTTTAAAATGACTCAAATTTTGATTCAGTTTTAGGCTTCGTTTGTGATGGCTTTCTCATTACTTTTTAAAGCAATTTTTTAGTAAAAAAAAAAATTTATTTCTAGAAATTTTTGTGCTAAAAAATTAGAACTTTTTTTTACTAAAATTATGCTTTAAAAAGTAATAAGAAAGTCATCCCAAACTTTTTGAAAAGCCCTATCAGAATAGTCAAGATTTCTATTACCTTGAGATTAGCGAGATTGGGTCAACAACTCCACTAGCTTGGCTTTTGTGAGCATTAATAGTTTTGCTTTAGCAACATTAGCTAAGTGCTTGATTATTCAAAGAAGATGCTTAGGAAACTAGTTGTGACCAGATAATGTGGCTTAAACTTTCAGCTTTGGTATGCCTGTTAAGCACTTGGTGGATGAGGCCAAATAGTCCCTTTTTTGCATTAACAAATTAGTTTATAAATAAATAATCTTGAAACATATAGGCTCTGATCGAAATGTCTATAAATTTTTATAAATATGATTGTAAAGCTGTTGTAGAGAAAATAATTTTTTTGAAAGCTTTGGTAGGAAGTAGCCTCATAGCACAATAATTTATTGAAAGTATTAAAAAAGCAATAGCCAAATAAAAAATTGTAATTGCCTTCCAAAAAGCAAAGCATTAAAGTAGGTGTTCCAAATAAAGCGTTAGTGTTTACAGATGAATGATTAAATCGTAAGGACTAATTCGGAATAAGCTCAATAGTTTGTGGCCTTAGGCTCATGGCTAAATTTCTATCTTCCTTCGAAGTGGTCAATTCTTATGAAATATACTTGGGAACACGACTAGGATAAAGTATGAGTTGTAAGTCGAGCAGATTTTGGACCAGTGGCATATGGAGAAGAGGAGTTTGTGAAAGAGATGGTGATGTAGAATGAGTGAAAGCTCTTAAATCCTATAAATTCAACTACTCTTAGGATTTCACATTATATATAATATATTTACTCGCTCCAGCAAATTATTTGGCATGATTCAGACTTCGTTCGGGATGGCTTTCTTACTAGTTCTTAAAGCATCTTTCTAGAACAAAAATTAAGAAGCAGTAAGAAAGCCGCCCCAAACGAAGCCTCAATCTAAATCTCGAATAAATCTCGAACAAAATTTAATAAGACTTCGTTTGAGACGACTTTCTTGCCGTTTCTTAAATTAACTTTCAAGTACAAAAATTTTACTTTTTTATACTATAAAGCTTTTTTAAGAAATAGTAAGAAAATCATCTCAAATGAAGCCTAAATCAATAGAAATGCTTTTTAAATTGCTACATAAAATTCTGGTTAATTATTTTCTTTTATACAACCTTAATCTATCCTTCCATCTCTCTTGTGCCCTTCCCTCCTGATTTTGTGCTTAAGAAAGTTTTTATCAGCAAGATAAAATTAGTATAAGTGTTTAAATAAATTTAATATAATTCCTACTTATTTCAGTATGTTATTGAACTAGTTTAGTATTATTACTTATTTATATTACATAATTATAGTAAAGTTTGCTTATGGTTTTTTCATTATCATATTTAATTCGTGTGAAATAGTAAACTAATTCAAGATTTGTTGACAGCTTGTTCATTTTGACTCATAAAATTATTTCTTAATATGAGAAGCTTAATTACTCATTCAAAATTTTAGCTTTTTTTTACTATTTTACTCAATTAATTTAAGCCAACCAAGTTTAAATGTAAAAATTTTAAACAAGACAGGCACAAACATATACAATAAAGCTTGGCTCGAGCTCAAGTCAAATATGATTAAATTGTAGCGTGATCAAGTCAAATTTAATCCATAATTTGCATGCCTCGCCTTGAATCAATTATATCTCTATTGTGGCCAGTAATTAACTCCAAAAGATGGCACTGGCACGCCTCAGAGATGAATAGTGAGGAAGCATCCTTATGAGTAAAGCGACTGATAATTTAAGATGATAGAGATTATAAAAAGTTGAATTTATATGATTTAACTTATAACTTACATCCATGATGTAATGATGGAGGGTGTCCACTAAGTGATGTATATTAGTGTATAAGGAAAGTCAAAGGCCACCTTTGTGAGAGCTCATTCCTTTGATTTGCCTTCTCAGATTTGATTTTCCTCTCAGGATCGTCCGGGATGATATTGAGATCGTCCAGGACGATCAGTGCATTGAA